TTTCTTCAGGTTAATGGGAGTTGAGCTAAATCTCTAAGCCCTCAATGTAAAAGGACATAAATGAGAATTATATGAAGAGGCAGAGCTTTGAGTGTTACTCACTGACAAGAATGTCTTTGAGTTGCGCAATACAGAGGTGCTAAGTTTCTATCTTGCTGTGAGGGCAGAGGGGGATGACTGATCACATTTCAGAGGCAAAAAAAATGTTGTTATGCTATATAGTGAGATAAATGATAAGGCATAGGTCCTATATTGATCAGTTTGTTTAACCAAGACTGAAGGTCATATATGAGAGCCTCTAGTTTGTTTCCTCGGTGATTGGGGATGGAAGGACTCCATCGAAAATTAAATGTGACAAGTAACATACTGAAAGCTCTTCCTCCGCCACTGCTTCTCCTCCACAGCCCTGTAATAGACCCTCGGAAGGTTGTGATAATTCTGCAGGATTGTGTTGGAGCTCATTGCTTCATCTTTTCTGATGTCTTCATAAAAGAGGTTAATAGAACTGCTTATGAGTGGAAAGAGAGTGACTTTGTTCATTCATCTTTAGATGGAGCTAATTATTCTCTTGGAAGAGAGATTTATTTCTAATCTGCTACATTTTTAGGACTTGGATCTTTAATGGAGCACTACTAATATTTCCCAAAGGATAATATTGGGCATGTAGCTAAATAAGTTGTGATTCTGGATTGATTACATCCAGTCTGTATTATGTTAGAAATTTTGAATCCACTGAATGGATCTCAATTTTAGACCCAAATAAAATAAAGATTTTTCTTTTAGTAAGGAGAGACTATAATATAACTTGACATAAATTAATTTCCTGAAGATCAACTAAACCCTGGTGTTTGGAAAAATAATCTTAAACAACAGTAGATCTTAGGAATTAACATGCCGATGACACTGATGCTGAAGTCGGTAGTGTTGTGCTTAAGGAACAGGATCACATGGAAATCATGGATGGAGACAAGTTTTGCATCTTGTATTGAAGACTCAATGTGATCAACTCTTTTCTTCAAGGCAAAGTTTTGCAAGCTGGAGTTTTGAATTTGCTTTATTAACGTCAACATCCCAGAAAACGTGCATCTAAAGAGCCCAACTTAATGTTGAAATACCACAAAAGGGACTTTTAAAATGGAAAATGTCCTGAAATTGTCAACGACTGGCCATCCATCATCATCTCTTCATGAACTGACATTTCCTGTCAAACTCCACACGAGCTATAGGAAAGGGAATCTTCTAAAAAGAGCCAAGTAGGGAGCAGGCACAGCAGTAAGGTTGCAGCTTAGGACATCTGCACTCATATCAGAGTACTTGTTTGAATGCCAGCTACTCCATTTCTAATCCATACTCCTGCTAATGTGCACCCTGGGAGGCAACAGATGATGGCTCCAGAGCCTGGGTTCCCATGTGGGAGACGTAGATTGAGTTCTGGGCCTCTGACTCTGGCCTGGCGCAGCCTTGACTGTTGTGGGTATCTGTGGAGTTCACCAGCAGATGGAAGATCTCTGTCTGTATTTCTCTCTGCCTTTCAGATAAAATGAAAATAAATAAATAAAAGTTAAAAAAATCAGTAATGTTGTATATACCATTAGTAGTGAACCAATATTCAATATCTAGTCATTAATTAAATGTGCAAGAAATTATTTTAATGTTTCCTCACAGGATAGGCTTGATCAGCATAGCCCTGACTGTTAATGAACAACTTAATACATTATCCCTCTTAGTAGTTTTTTTTATCTGTTCTACTTAATATGACTGGTTTAGATCTGTAATTGATGCACAGTTATTCTTAAGTGTTGAAAATTAACTGAAATGTGATCCCTGTTGAACATGGTGGTGGGAATGGGAGAGGGAAGAGATGTATAATTTGGGACATGCTCAGGCTGACTTGCCCCAAGTGGTGGAGTTGGAAGCCTACCAGGGGATTCCAATTCAATCCCATCGAGGTGGCATGTACCAATGCCATCTCACTGTTCCAGGTGATCAGTTTCAGTTCACAGTTGGTCATGGTGAAGGGACTGGGAGTCAAAGGGAGCACATAGACAAGTCTAGTACCTGCTAACGCTAACTGATGGAGTAAATAAAGGGGAGAGTGATCCAACATGGGAAGTGAGATACTCAGCAGACTCATAGAATGGCAGATGTCCTAAATAGCACTCTGGCCTCAGAATCAACCCTAAAGGCATTCGGAGCTGGCTGAAAAGCTCATGAGAGTATTTCAGGCATGGAAAGCCAAGACACTCTGGCAAAAGATCTCCACGAGTGAGATCCCAGTGGAAAGAACAGGTCATCAAAGAAGGAGGTACCTTTCTCTGAAGGGAGGAGAGAACCTCCACTTTGACTATGACCTTGTCTAAACAAGATAAGAGTCGGAGAACTCAGAGGGCTTCCATAGCCTTGGAAACTCATGACTGGAGCATAGGGAGATTACTGATGCCATAGACAGGAGTGTCAATTGGTAAAGTCAACAACAGGAGTCACTGTGCACTTACTCCTCATGTAGGATCTCTATCCTTAATGTGCTGTGCATTGAGATTTAATGCTATAACGAGTACTCAAACAATATATTTCACTTTGTGTTTCTATGGGGGTGCAAACTGTTGAAATCCCTACTTAATGCATACTAAACTGATCCTCTGTAAAAAAAAAAAAAGAAATTATCAATTCCCAACTTGACTCTCACTGGGATTAAACATGACAATAGGTCTGCTCTGATTTCATCATCATTTAAAAAAAATCATCTATTATTTTTCACTTTATGTTTCTGTGTGGGAGCAAACTGTTGAAATCCATACTTAATGTATACTAAGCTGATCTTCTGTATATTAAGATAATCGAAAATGAATCTTGATGTGAATGGAAGGGGAGAGGGAGTGGGAAAGGGGAGGGTTGTGGGTGGGAGGGACGGTATGAGGGGGAAGCCATTGTAATCCATAAGTTGTACTTTGGAAAATTATATGCATTAAATAAAAGTTTAAAAAAAATCAGTAATGTTGTATATACCATTAGTAGTGAACCAATATTCAATATCTAGTCATTAATTAAATGTGCAAGAAATTATTTTAATGTTTCCTCACAGGATAGTTATTTTTAATAATTGACATTTGGAATGAAGTTTTTTTTTTAACATAGAAAACATGCCCAGTATAAGAAATTTTATGGATCTAGAAAAGTAGAAAGAAAATATGTAATCTCAACAGAGACAAGTAATCCCTACCTTTTGTTAATTTCTTTATGTTTCCATTTCAAGTCCTACTGGTATATTCTATTGCCACCTCTTCTATTAGTGCTACTGCTGTTAATACTTTTATGTCCGTTGTTAACCACCGTTTATTCAAAGTCACATTATATTCTCCTCAGTCTTCACATACAGACCTGTTAGGTTGATATTTTTAATGTCATTTCAAAGTTGATAAAACAGAGATTCTGAAAAGTAAGACTACCCACTCAAGAGTTTCATGGGTGACAATGTCAGGTTGGGACTCACAGATATGTAATGTCAACACTTATTTTTTTTTTTACATTTTGTAATATAGATGCTTTCTTAATATAAAAAATAATTCTATATTCTCCCATTTCATTTAAGAACAGTATGAGAATCTTACCCATGGAATTAACACTTTTTATAAGCTTATATTATAATCATATCCTAACAGTGTATCCTAGAAATTTCTTCATAATAATTGTTTTTCATTGTTTTACATATATATTATGTGTATATATATATATACATTTGTATTTCAAACATTTACCACTTAAAGCTAAATTTTTTTAGAGCATAATCTGTGAAGGCTAGGCCTGTTAGACTGAGGTTAAGATGGACTGCAAAGCCCCTAGAAATAAGGAGAGAGGGCTAATTCTTCAGTGTTTGTTCTCCATTTTTGTCATTCCCTGAAAGCGACATACTAAGCAAATGTAGGAAAAGGCCAGCTTGTGGTCATTTTTAAATTAATACTTTAGTTATAAAATTCCAAAGGTACTGTTGTTGGGTCTTTACTTTTATGTGTCCAAAGTCTGACTTCTCTGATAATACTCTGATTGTCTTCTTCCTCATAAAACACCTCTTAGTATCTCTTCCACTTTGATTTTGATTTCTTAGGAAATAATTTGGAACTTCTTAGCAAAGCAATACAATTATCATCATCTTTTTAAGTTCTGCAAAACTGTCTTCATAACCATTGAATCCCAGTTACAGAATTTGTAAATATCTTTTCTATATCTAAGTCATGGTGCATTTCAAACATCTTGTTCAGTAGAGTTTTATCTGCCTAGTTACCTCTGCTTAAGCTGCTTGAATAAATATTCTGTAAAGAAGCATGAGTTGTGGATAAAGAACTCTCACATTTCCACTAGCTGTTTCAAACAGCTAATTAGGAATCCAGTTTCTAACCATTTTTATCCAATATTTGTTTCTTGAGCACTTATACTATGCCTAGCATCGGAGTATATCCTAGGCATGCAGTGGGGAACAAATTAAAAATGATTCTTGTTCTTGTAAAGCATAAGCTGTAGTGGAAGAAGCATACAAGAAATAAGTAAACACATTTTGTTTTTAAAATATAATTGCATACAGTATAATACATGCCTGATGTTCTCTTATATTACATAAAGAGAATAGTATTTGTTCAGTAAAAATCCTTTTGTATTTTGTTCATATTTATTCTTCAACTAAATTACAGGCTTCAATTTATAATGTTTGTCTATTGGTTTTCCCACAATCTTTGTGGATATTAGAAGTTTCAAAATAAAACACAGTCTTCTGGTTTATTTTGTTGACAACTTCTTTATTAAATGATACTTTACTAAAAGGAAAATTTCTCAGTGCCTATTCTGCTGCCATGAAACTACTTTGTTCTCTGGTCTTTGAGAAAATTACTGGATTCCTAACAAGAAAATGCCTTTATAGTGTGCCAGGGCACTGTGTGGCTCTGCTAGACCTTACCAACTATGAAAGAGCTTGTCATATGTGCCAGTAACTCTTCCCTCTCTTGCCGTAGGTCCAAGGATCTTATAAAGGAAGCTATCCTTGACAATGACTTTATGAAAAACTTGGAGCTGTCACAGATCCAGGAGATTGTGGATTGTATGTACCCGGTGGAGTATGGCAAGGACAGCTGCATCATCAAAGAAGGAGACGTGGGGTCACTGGTGTATGTCATGGAAGGTATGGCTTGTAACCCTGGTCCTCTCGCATTCATCGTATTGCTTTTTCATCTTATCAGCCTACACACAGATGGCAGTGCATTACATGAGGCAATTTCATTTTTCTTTATTTTGTTAAGAAACAGTGTGAAAAGAGATGAAACACTACTTGATACAGTGGTTGACTAATTATGTGAAGTTTTTGTGTTTAGAATATTAATATGAGGATCCAATATTTTGCAGACGTGGAGAAGGATGATAATATAAAAATGCTCTTTATTATACTGAATAATACCATATTCTGTCAGATCATTGAGCAAACTCACAAAATTTCAAAGAGAGTTCAAGGTCGTTGGAAGTGTTTTTGGTCAGGTAATCAGTATCTTCAGCTGAACTTGTGACTTTTAATATATGATGAACGTTTCTGTTATGATGCTTTGAAAGAAAATGCTTTTGCTAGCTTATGTGTATAATAGAGGTGGACTATAAAGGCAGGTAGGCATATTAGCTAGTTAATTTGTAAGAGAGGTAGCTTGTATAAAACTTGCACAAGCTGAGATAAAAAGTTCTGTGGAAGAAAACCAATACACGAATTGTGTAGATGTTTTATGTCTATGTCAGTTTTCATGATGCTTATTTATAACTTGGAATTTATAATAGATTTTTTGTGTGTGTGAGAAGAAAGAAGCTTCATCTAATGACTAAACCAGCTAAGAAGAGTTCAGAAATGTCTCTAATATCACATAGTTGCCTTATGGGCGCCACAGTCGGTTTATTAGGTGACACTATTTCACGAAAAGATTCATGAGAGTATTCTATAATTGACAAGTTTATAGGTCCTTAAGAGTGGGGGTGTATCTGAGCTGGTCACTTAATTTCCCTGAGTTTCACCCACCCAGTTTTTAAAACGGAGATACTGTTTTTTTCTGTGATCAGTTTTGAACTGGTGGTGGCTGTGAGCTCTGGGGGATGTTTGTCTGTTTCTTGTCACTGTGGGGTCAGGATCGGGTGGTTAGAGGCTTCCAGTGGCTAAAGCCGGTGATGCTGCTCAACAAGATAACCAGAACCCAGAGCGATCTGGCCCACTGCATCTTCAGTGCTGGCGATGGAAGTCTCTGCTTTCTGCCTTCTTTCGGGAGTTAGGAAGTTAAGATGAAATCATTTATGGAAAAATTTGATAGAAAGTATAAGGCATCACAAAATTATAAACATTGTTTCTACTAAACACTTGCTAGTATAGGCATATAAGACCTACTTCTGCATTTGTCTTTTACCTTTCAATTTTTCTTGTAATTTTTTGGACGTGTGATAGACATTCAATTTTCATATAGTAGTCTCTCATTTGTTTTCTTTATAGTTTTCACCTCTTGTGTCAACATTACAAAGTTCTTCCCCAGGCCAGAGGCTATAAATATTCAGCTAGTCATTCATCTGATAAAGCCAAAACACAATAAACTGAAGCACAAATAGTGTAAATTTGGCAAGAAATATCAGGGAAAAGAGATGAAATTATAAGGCAAAGATGTATGGGGATAATGAACAGGAATGATGAAAAACACAGAAGAAATGTATAGAGGTGAAGTATAGAATGTAAAAATGAGGTAGCATATTAAGAACTACTAATAATTAGAAGCCATGTTTAAAGCATTTCTGAGATTATCATGTATCAGTGACGTAATATGATTTAACTTTTCAGATTTTGTATTGGCAGGCTTCTTTTGAAGAATAGCACAATTGCATAAAGCAGTATGTACCTTTACTTCAGGCTGTTTTTAAATTCTGATTATTGATATTTCATTCACAAAACTAAAATCTGTAAATCCACTGGTTTCATTTTTCCTTTATCTTGAACATTTCTTACAAAAATAGACTTCTGAACAACCTTGTAACTATTTCCTTAAAAATATTCTGTTTATCCATGTCATCCCTGTTTTCTGGGCCTAAATGCGGATTCTCTGGCTATTTTAGAAGAAACATGGAAACAATAATATTTGTTGAATATTTAGAACAATGCAAGATATGTAGAGTGTCCTTTTTCTAAATACATTCCATATATAAAATTACTTAATCCTCAAAATCATCCTGTGAGGTAAAGTCTGATAGTTATTATCCTTCTTTTCCAGAGGAGACGATAAGGTTAAGTAATGGGCTCAGGTCTTAGAATTCTTCCAGAGAATCTGGATTTCGAGCCCATGTTCTTAACTATGGGGCCATGTATTACTCAGAGTTCCCCAGCGGAACAGAACAAATACAGTACGTGTGTGTCTGTATAGGAAGAATAAAATACGTATCTTAAGGAATTGGCGCACGTGATTGTGGAGGCCGCCAGTCAGAACCTGCAGAGTAGGTCCAGCAGGTTGGAGACTGGGCAGAGCTGATGCTGCTTGTCAAGGCTGGAGGTGTCTACAGGGACAACTGCCTTTTTGTGGAGTCAGCTTCTTGTCTATCTGGGCTGATTGAATGAGTCAGACCCAAGTTTTGGAGAGTATCAGTTTTACTCAAAATCTATTGATTTAAATATTAATCTCTTCCAAAAAATAATTCTACAGAGTCATGTAGAGAATGTTTGACCAATTATGTGGTATGATCATGTCCTAGCCAAGTTGATGTATAAAATTAAGCATCAAAAGTCCAATCCTTGTCAATTAGGCACCCATACATATCTTGTTAAACTGTACTTCAACTCTAAATAAAAGCAATAAAAAGATTATATTTCCAGCTAACATGATGCGATAACCTCATGTATACCAAGAAATTTGCTACCTTTTCCATAGAAAAATATGTGAAATCTTTGGGTAATATTTACTCATCTGATGGATACCTCATAACTTGTTATGTTGGGCCCTGCACCCCATGGGAGATCAGGATAAGTACCTGGCTCCTGCCATCGGATCAGCGCAGTGCACTGGCCGCAGCGCGCTGGCCGCGGCGGCCATTGGAGGGTGAACCAATGGCAAAGGAAGACCTTTCTCTCTGTCTCTCTCTCTCACTGTCCACTCTGCCTGTCAAAAAAAAAAAAACCAGGAGAAGTACCTGGCTCCTGCCTTCGGATCAGTATGGTGCACCGGCCGCAGCGCGCCGGCGGCGGCCATTGGAAGGTGAACTAACGGCAAAGGAAGACCTTTCTCTCTGTCTTTCTCTCTCACTGTCCGCTCTGCCTGTCAAAAAATAAATAAATAAATAAATAAAATGAGGAAGAAATACTTGTGACAGTCTTTATTGGTTTTCTAGGTAAAAGATAAATGTAATAAATTTTCCCCATAGCTTCGAAATAATTTTTAAAAATTACATTTATCTTTCTTTTATTGCTAAATTGAATAAATAGCATGTCATCTTAATTATCTCTTAAGAAACCTGTTTTAATTATCCTGCTAAAACCAAGGTTCTAAATAATGTATTGATATTCAGAGTCACAGATTTTGCAGGATACTGTTGATTGCCTTCTGCTAAACTCAGTAAAATGACCACAAGCTTACAAACTTATACTGATTCTCCCCTAAAAGGTAGTGCTAACCAATTCAGTGTAACTTTGGTTGATAGGGTACTTTTATTCTTATGTCAAAGCAGTTTAAAACTGAAAAAGGAAACCTCTGTAATTTAAATTTTTGTAAGTTTAATTGAGGAAATTTTTATTGTATAGTTTTTTTATCAACGCATTCAGTTGTCTTCAAATTTAGATAGCAGTATTCTTGACATAAACGGGTCCTTTTTCATATGTTAGCATTAATATTTATGAAGAGTGTACCATAGTAACCATTGATAAAGGAATCTCTCACAAACTTGCTTACTATCAAGACACTGAACAAAACATTTAGGGACTTTATGTAGAAAATCAGTCCAATTTTTCATTTTCATCAGTCAGTTTTTCTTTACTGAAATGAAGTGTTCTTCATAAAATGCTTACCATGTGTTTTCAGTGTTTTTTTTAAGCCTGGGCAGTGTCCCAAGTGTTTTTGCCTATCTAAATACCAAAGTTTCTCATGGTTTTAACAAAAGAGAATAGTCATATGGTTAAACTTCACTAATTGGATGTCTAGGGGAGAATAATCTGAGGGTATTGTACATATATTGTCATGCATTTTCAAGCAAGATGAGCTGTGTTACTTTTAGGTACTTAGAGATGCTGCCTAATACAAGTGTTTATTTCAGTTTTTGGTTGGAGTTCTGTAGAATTAGCTTCTTAAGGTAGTAATGGAATAGATTAAGTTGTTTATGACACTGTTTACATTTTAATTATGTTCAAATATGTTAAGTGACTTGCAGAATAATTAATACAGTTTATTTAAACAAATAGACATTGGTCTTAATTATGATAGAAATCTGTTAATACTCTTACATTCTTGTCCTCCTTTTTGATTATAAAAATAAACTTTGGTCTACCTTCATCCAAAATAAAACAAATTCTGATTCAGTGATTTAAAATCAGTGATCTTTTATTCTTCGAAAATCTACTCTAACATTCGGTATTGAAATGTTCTAATTTATATCCAATAAAATGGTTTCTTTGCATGGAGGTCTTGGTCTTACACATTTCTTGTGACCTTTTATTGTAGACGCATATAGATGGCATTTTGTTTTTAAAAGTGGCAGATGTCTGTTTGTTTAGTGTTCCATGGCCATTGGTCATTTTGTGTTGAACTTTTTTTTAACAACAGCGAGTTTTTTTTTTTTTTTTTAATGAGTTGTTTGCTAGTGATAATTTGTTTTAAGCGCTTACAAGCAAGGTACTGCTTGATCACTATCTAGGTAACTGTTGAATTTTGCATCTTCACAACAACCTTACTAGGTAGGCATTCTGTTATCTGAATGTTAATCTGTAATCTGCATTCATGTTGTCTGAATGAAGCTGTGAATGCCTGGAGAAATTAAATAAGATCTTGTAGTAAGTAAACTGGGATGCAGGTTGCAGCTATGGAGTTCTCCTCAAGTGCTGTGCAGTGCTAACTTTTGAAGTGCAGATTAGAAGTACTATAGTTACATATTTATCATGTATCTTCTAGTTTAGGGAATCCCTAAAAATGC